TTATCAACAAAACAAGGATATAAAATATACAACTTACTCAAAGAGCTTAGAAGAGCTTTAATTCATGATACAGAAGTAATGACAGTAATCTACTCCTATTACAGAATGAAAAATTACTTTGTTTTTTACTATTCGGTATGCGAATGCCAAGTAATCGTGAGAAAATTTCTATTGTGCACGGTACTATAGCAAAACATAGAAAGAAAAAAATACTGACAATGAAAGTCACAGATATGAAAATACATGAGAAAAAAATGTACACAGCTACTTCATAAAAAAATATTAAAACTGTAGACTACATACAAGCATATGTGCTGTAGTTTGTGTGCGAGGAGGGACAACTGCAGTACAAATAGAAGCAGGGTTGAATTAACATTGTTCTTAGTTTCAGAACTGTCATTCAGCAAGAAAACAGACACTGGGATTTTGAGAAGCATAGACTGAGAGACCACAGAAATCAGAGGCAATGAAAAATCTGAGCTTTTTTATCCAATAACAGTTAGTGTGAAATGAGTATCTTTCATGTAAATAATATTTTGGTTTTTTATATTTTTCCAAAGGAAGGAAGACAGGCTTCTGAAATCTGAAAATGGTCAATAGTGACAAAAGCAGCCAAGAATAAAAAAGAGAAGTTCATAACTAAGAAAAACTCCTCAATTTGAGAAACACCACAAGTGGAAACTACAAGCCTAGCAGCAGATATAGTTTAGAATCTACTTTCACATTTCTTTCCTTCTAATTCTTGGATGGTACTAAGGTTTCCTTTGTTATTGCCAATGAAATGGCTCACAAGACCCACCAAGCATATAACAGACTTGTAAAATTACTTCCTTTCCATGCTCCAGCTAGATAAGCAGATCTTAAGAGGAGAGTGCACCGAAAATTTCCTTAACTTTCTGGCTTCTAAAAAGAGGTGTAATGTCATGTTTCTCAGTCGATGAGGAGGCACACGATGATCTGGAGGACCTAATAAACCTCTGGAGACAACATTCTTCTTTTTCATCAAAGCTATTTCATAGGGATGTTTGACCCACATAGGTAACAGCATTTTCAACACATATTCCCTGTGCTCTCTGAGATTTTAACATTAGCAGGTTTTAATCTAGCAGTTGCTTTGTTTGTCAGATTCCCATTTAGTTTCTCCTTCAACAAAAATACACTTTCTTTTTAGCATCACACAGCTTTGGCCAGGTTCCAAAGTTTTTTTAAGAGAGAACTCAGCGACTGCTATATAGATAATTTATGCAGAAATTACTGTCAGTTTCATGGGCAGCTACCAAGTCTCACTGTGATTGGAACTAATAACTATTACCAAGGTGTGATAATTTCATTTAACATTAGGAAAACATCTGGTGCCTTCATATCTTGTTGTAACATAATGCCACGGTTTTGCCCAATCCACTCTCATTAAAACAAGGCAAAGCAGCTAAAGAAAAACATACACACTGAAAATAAATTTATCCTCTCAACCATTTTTGTGCAACACCCCCACCCAGAACTCATACTCTCATAGATTCTTGAAGTAATATGGGGCTATTAAAAAGTAGTCTCAGCTCCTGTATAATGAAGACTATCTGTTTCATTGAGTAACCTCTAAGTCAAAAGCATGATACATTTAGGTTATGCTGTATCCATTTTCCTCACAGTTCCTGCATGTGATGGATGAATCCAGCCAACTCTTAGATAAGTTGTAGCACTTATGACTCTCACTCTTAAAATTATACACCTTATTTCTAGTTTGAATTTGCCTAAATTTGGCTTTGAAACACTGGATCTTATTATGCCTTTTTCTGCTAGATTAAACAGTCATTTACTGTCGAAAGTCTCATTCCCATTAAGGCATTTAGAGACTCTGATCAAGTCTCCTCTTAACCTTATCTTCAGCAGATTAAACAGACTGATCTTTAACCTCTAACTACAATGTTTATTTCCAGGCCTACAGTAGTTCCTTCACCTTCAATGAATTCTTTCCAATTTTAAACATATTTTCAAAGTGTGGTCACCAGAAGACAACATAATAATTCATTAAGCTCCCCTAATGTCATACAAAGTGGCAGTGTTACTTCCTACCTGAAATTTACTTGTATATATGTATCAGAGAAAATAATATACACCATTTAAAACTTTCCTTTAGCTTACTGGTAAAAGAGAAATTATTCTGAAAGGAATTTAAAATGTGAATATTTACCCTGTTTTTTTACACACAATGCAGAAACATGCAACTCTTCTGCCTTTTCTATACTATCTATATTTTTCTGTATTAGCTACTTCCAGTGTCACTTCTGTAACTTAAGATATTTTTCTGATAGTTCTTGTCTTCCTTTATCAGTTTCGTGTTCATAAGTGCTTTTTATATTATTATTTAGTAGTAGTATCTGAGAGCTGTTCAACTCTAGTAGTACCTTTGAAGGCAATTCCATTTACAGTCTTTAAAATATTTTCTTGCATTTCCTTTTTCTTCATGTCATAAACTACATTTCTGAAGCAATTTTCTCATACAAAATAGAAGTATATTTTGAAAACACACAAAGGCATAGATACTATGTTTACCAGAACAATAGTATTCTGTTTTCTGAAACTCAACCTCATTAGGTAAAATACCTAATTTTACCAGAAACTTTCACTGTAACAGGCTATATACAATCGTTTTGGTTTGTCTTTCATAAAGTATATATTTAATTAAATTGTATTTCTTACACAGATAGCTGTAGCAAATAACATTTACATCAAAAAAATTCTAATTTCCACCTGCAAGTTGCTTTAGACATGAATCAATCAAATGAGATTATATAGTTCCCATTTACTTTTCTTTTTAAGCATGATTTTCACTTACTGGCTGAACTACAAGAACAGTTGTAGCTACTTCTAATACTTAAGTTTAGATCCATTAGGTAAACAATATCAATTAATTTACATACTACTAGATAAGATGGTACGCATCAGAAAAATATTTGGAATCATTTGGTTGCTACCTGGAGCAGGAGTTCTTAACTGTCAGTGCATTCTCATGGCATAAAACAGTTACTAACCATGATCTGTTCACACATAAAGCCTGGAAAACATTTGTTCCACAGAATAAACCTTAATTTGACCTTAAATATATCAATTGAATAAAGAAATCCTGTGTTTTCTCATTTCTTTTTTATTCACAGCAAAGAAGAATTTGTTAATGTACTAAAAACACTACCAATGTATGTGATCTGAGACAATAACCTTCTTTTGTGTTATTCCAGCTGCAAACAAAAATCTTCCATGTGGCATGTGCAATTGCTATTTCATTAGAAGTAGGTTCTCTCTAGCTCTTGAATATGATATACTAGATAAACACAAAATATATCTAGATAAATAGAAACAGAAGAGAGAGAACAGAAAGACAGACGTGTGCAGAAAAGGGAGAAGTATATCCCTGTGCAAAGGGAAAAACATCCAGAGAAGGAGAAATATTCTCTGTGCTTAAACTCCCCACAGGTTATGCACATACTAAAAAGGAAAAAGAATGAATAAGAGAGAAAATTAAGGGTGGGAAGAAGGAAAACTAAAAATTAAGAAGATGCAGCGAAAAGTGATTCTGGCAACAAGAAGGAAACACACTGCTAATTTAAACTTGCTTCCTAATATTTCAGAATCCACAGTTCACATCTGAATTAGAACAAGTTCAAAGTTTTCTGACAAACAAAAAAGAAATTGATGTCCTGTATTGTTTTCTTGTAACTCAGTAAATCCTTTATGTCATCTCTTTGTGGCCTTAAATATAAGTAATTTTAACTCTTAAAAAATTCTGTCTTCAAAATTTCAATGTTTCTTTTAACTGCTTCACATATTTCCTGACATCAAAAGACCTCTAATTGATTAGTTATTTCTATTAAATTCATCTTTTTCCAACATGTATTCTGGGGAAAATACTCAGAAACTTCCCAACATATGCTATAAGTTAAGCAGCCTAAAACAGTCCAATATACAGAAGTTGAATTGATTTTTGTTTCCAAGCAGAAGCTGAACCCATGTAACTTTTTTAAAAAATTAAAACTATGTGCACACTTCAATTTGCTCTAAGGTAAAAAGATTAAATAGTGATTATGTAGCCTTGATATCTAAGCAGATTTTTGTACTGTCTGAATCTGATGGGAGGAACTAATAACACATAACACATTCTTCAATTTATGCAGCAGTTTACAAGTTACCTTGAACCTTATTTTGTCTAATTTAAAATGCTATTGTAATGGACACAGCAAAGCTTTAGGTGACTCATAAAAGCAGAATACACTAGCTAGAAGTCTTCAAAATCTACCAAAGCTCAGACAAATATTGGTAAACCTTGTTTGGAAGATTTGGGACACCTCTGTGTTATCAAACATAAGAGTTTGAGAACAAACCATTCTCTTTCCTTTCATGCATACATCTAATTTAAGCCCACTGAAATGCTTGATGAAGTTAGAGAAGAAAATTTCTCTCTAATTCAGCGGCATATTTCACTATACTTAAAATGGAATTATTTGAGTATCAGATTAAAAGGAATAGAAAACCTGGCAGAATCTGAGCTTTTTTATATGGACCCTAAATCTAATTCAAAAGATTCTCAAAAATATAAAGTCCTAAGGGTTTTTCTCAGCCCAGCGACTAATATTCTTAATGTAGTCCAATTGCTTAAAAAAAGACTAAAATGATAATGCTGTTGAACTGATACTGTAACTCTTAACCTGACAAAAATCATTCTTGTACATGGCTATAAGAGGTCTGTCGGAGCAAAGTGTTCAGGTTTCTTCACCTACTTTACTGCAATAAATTCAATTCTTTAAGCAAAAATCACCAGAGAAATTGCCTTTTATTTCCCATGAGAGTTTTTACATTTGATCCCTTTGCTATCCTGCAAATCCTCAGAAAATGATTTTCAACTGCTTTTGACATTCAGCAAGAATCGTATCCACTGCTTCTTAGCAATGTATACAAGCTTTCCCCCTGCAATAGGACATAGCATTTTTCAAACAAAATATAGAGCTTACCTTGAAGAAAGTCATGGTTGCTCCATCTTCAACTGTCCCATACTCTATCTTTGTCTGCTTGGCCAAATCATCAGCAGAATCAATAGGGGATTCCATACGTTCCACTGTCAGAAAGGCGGCTAGGTTAGCAGTATACGAAGAAATGATGATAAGTGTGAAAAACCACCAAATGCCTCCCACTATCCTGGTGGAAAGGGCTTTGGGCATGAGCTCAGAACCTAATGAAAACCAGGGGAGAAAGGTGAAACCAATGCACAGAAAATAATTAATAAGTGTTCAGCACTTTTTGCCACAGTGGGGAGATGGAATAACTGTGCAAAAAAATCTTTAGGCTACACGCTTACATGTACTGCTTGTATAAACGCACACACTGAAACGAAAAATAAGGACTGATTAAATTTATAAAGACAGACTTTTTTGGAGCTGTGGGTATCAATAGATAGAAATGGGAGTTTCAGTGATCAATGTCTTTTAAAATTTATAAATATATATATATATATCGATGTGAAAAAAACAGTTACTTGAACGAACTGGCTTTCCAGAAAAATTCTGAATGCTCCATCCCTGGAAGTGTTCAAAATCAGGCTGCATGGAGTCTTTGGTGACATGGTTTAGTGCGAGGTGTCCCTGCCCATAGCAGGGGGGTTGGAACTAGGTGATCTTAAGGTCCTTTCCAACCCTAACTATTCTATGATTCTACAATTTTATGAAAAATTCTGGCTGGACTGAGCCTCTAAGTTAGTACTAATATTGAAGCACTTGTACAGTTCTTTATCGTCAAGGCACTACATAAATTTTAAGTACTTCATAAAAACTCACTTAAGTAAGTAAAAATAAGCAACTGATGAGAGAAGCAGATATGGAACAGAAGTATTTAATATCTGAAATATAAATTCTGAAATCTTTTATAAATATGCTTTGGACTTTTGCCTTTTACATTGCTGTAAAGGGTTGCTCATCAACTGCTTATACAAAAAAATGAACATCTCCCATTTCTATAGGTAGCCCACAATTTCAGGTAAACATGGGTGGCTATGCCACACACTTAATTTGATAGAGCAGTAATGAAAAAATTAGACTGCTATGCATAAACTAGATAAAGACAGATTATAATGCATTGCTGGAGTTGCCTGCTCATGACACTAAAGAATGGAGGGGGGAGAAAGATACTGTATAGTAATTTGCATAATTATCAATGCTAATTTAGAGTCTAATGAGACAAATTGAAGCACACAAACTTCTCTTGTGCCTAATTACTAAAAATAGGAAAAAATAAAATTCAATGTAATTTATAACCAGAAATATTTATTATAAATGGGCACATACGGATTTTTTTCCATAACGTTGTAATTGAATGGAATGAAATTTCTAATAATATTGAATAAACAACTTCAAGCTCCACTGTAAGAACTTTACATAAGATCTTTTAGAAGTATCTGGAAACTTGTTTTCAAAGAAACAGGTATACCATATCCACTATACCATTGTACCAAAACAATCATTTTTTGCTAATTGGTCACTATGCTTGATTTTAAATCTCCTGGGTAAAATGGAATGAAGGGAAGATGGACTATTTTATTTCTGTTTATTTTTAGTGTTTATATTTAATTATTTAAGGAATTAGTCCAGCACGGTAACACATCTTCATATAAATGAAAGATTATGCCAAACTTCCAAAATCAATGTTAAAAAAAGAACAGAAGGAGAGGGAGGGGGAACCAAAGAAAAGGAAAAAAAGAAGTGGTATCATAACTGGACTATCGTATTCAAAAACAGCCCATCTTACCCTGCAGTTCATCTTACCCTTGCTGTTTCAAACAAAAAAAGCTGACAGACTTGGACATGACAGCCAACTCCAGCGCCAGACTCTGCCTAGAATTCTGCAAGGAAAGAAGTAGAAAAGTACCTTTCTGACGTAGCTGCTCCTAGGCCCTCTTAGTCAGACACTTAGACACCATAACACTAACAGATTTCCCAATATAGCCCACCATCATCAACTCTTAAATTGTTGTTTCGTTTAAAAAGCAGCACCAGTAAAGCCAGATAAGATTGGGAAGAAAAGAAGGTTGGAAACATATGCCACAGTTGCCCCAATTACCACAAGTTCATACCTTACCAAGGAGTGAAAATGAGTGCCACCTAGGCCCGTGAAACAGAGCCTGGTTAGGGGCTGACTGTCATGTACCCAAGGTAACGTCATGTCCAGCACTATATCCCACAGTTTCCTGGGAGCGAGGGGTGTCAGCAAGACATGTATGAGTTCCCTCTATCATGTATCCTCCAGCATTAAGCAAATGTTTTGTAAAGAAGCAGCACTTAATAAGTTAATGTAAGTATAGGAGCAAGCGCTATTATATTGTTTCTAATGCAAAGTTGTTGCCATTAGGTGAACAAAATTCCATTGTGTAAAACCCTACTTTTAGATTACTAAGTTCTTGAGAATTATTTTTTTTAAGCAATTATGTAAATCAAGACTGATACTTTATCCTCAGAACAGTGC